TAGTGTTGCATAATCATAAAAAAGTGTGAATTCGCCGAAATCTGATCCATGCGCTGTCTTAACATACCCGCGTAAATATTTCAAAATTTCAAAATTTATAATTAATCACAATTCATATGTTTAAATATCCCAACTTTATGATCTTTCTTTCATTATTCTTTATATATATATATATATAAAGCACTAAAAATGACCAACGACACGAACAATATAAATTGCCAAATTTTCGGGACGCCCTGTCCCTTTCTCAGGACAAAGAAAAAAGTTAAAAAGTCATAAGAACAAAGGAAAAAGAGAAACAAAAACAACTAGCACTACTACTAAACTACTAAACACTAGATATTTACATACTTAATTACATGATGAATTAGAAATTATTAAGAACACTAATAAAGAAAGAAATCCGGACCGCTATGAAATGCGTCCGGTCTTTCGGGTATACTCGGGTGAAGTGCGATTTACATAATTGAACGAATTAATTATGTTAATTAATTACGACAATCAGTAAATCGTACATTGTTTCATTCTCTCAAAATGGCGTAACTTTACTTAATAAAGAATAATCAAAGAAAAATAATATAGCAGGGATATTTAAACATATGAAATATGATCATTTATAAATTTTGAAATATTTAAGGACTTATTACCGGAAAAAATATTGAACAAAGGTGTAAGCAATACATAGTTATGAAAGTTGTTCGAGAGTTGGTGACGCAAATTAACTGTAGAGTTTACACTAAATTGAGAGAATAATCTTGTTTAGTATCATCATGAATTGGGTCTAGTTTACGTTCATTTTGGTGAAGTCATTCAGTTTGTTAATACCATTAGGGCGGAATGACTTCAATCTGTGCATCCAGAACTTTTCTTTGCTTTTTCTCTGAGCATCTGTCCATCTTGGGTTATGGTCAATCACCACTACTGTCATATCCTCCCATTTGTGACCTTTAAGGTCTTTAAGGAACCCCCATTGGCTGCATACAGACGCCCAAGGAACCTAAAGGACATGGTAGTAAGAACCAGACTGGACAACCCATTACCTAACGGGGGCTTTAAAACTTGCTCAGACAGAAGATGTCCTCTTTGTAAGCACAGCACTGACACAGACAGTTTAAACAGCCCTGTTACAGGCCGCAGCTACAAAATACTAGGGAATTTGTCCTGTCATACTGACAACTGCATTTATCTCATCAGTTGCAAAGTTTGCTTCAAACAGTATATTGGTGAAACAGGAGATCTCCGCAGGAGAGTCAATAACCACCGTTCAACCATTAGGACCAAAAAACTCAATGAACCCGTTGGGGAACATTTCAACCTTGAGGGTCACAAATGGGAGGATATGAAATATGAAATAATAGGCTTAATCTGTTTTCAGCTTACATTTGTAGTAAAATCTTGATAATAAACATGTAGTGTTTTATATGAAAATAAAGGGTTTTCTCTCACCAATAATTTTGCTATGAAAAGAAGTATTATTACAAAATATGTACACATTGACAGACTACCATATTCCGGAATAACGTCAATTTCTGTCATGTCCCGTTGTAACAGAAAAATACCTGCAACAGAGTTTATTCCAAAAAAAAAAGATCGAACAATCTGCTCGGATCTCCTTGATATTTCACAGGATCGTTCTCTTACATCATATTTAGACATAATATGTCTGTTGACACCCCCTGTTAAGAGAATGGATACCCACATCCTTTGAAATAAAAGTTCTTAAGATGTCCCATGCAATGAAAAATTAGTGTAACGCATTTTCCATGGGGGAAAAAGAAAATTTTGTTGGTAAAATTTACAAATTTGAACTGACATGCAATGAGTTCTTTTAAACAACAACCTGTTCCCAAAAAATAATGAAAATTTTCCAGGCGCTAAGGTATTTAATCAAACATATTCCATGTCTTGCAAACATATCCCCCTGTGTAAATGACGTCATGTCAAATATATATTAGTAAATAGCTTATTGATTTATTCCGAATTCGAGAGGCAATATCTATTAAAATTTATGTCAGTGAAAAGAATTGAGAAAATACTTTTGATACATATAGGTTTCATCAGATCTTATCGCTTAATAAGGAAATTACTAAAGAATCGAAATGTCTTGCAGAAATGTCCCCAGCTGCTTAAAATGACTAATGACGTACTAGGGATGCACGATTTGGGACGTACGTCAATGTGCATTTCCTATTAATTTGTTAAAGTATTGCTGTACCCTTAATACTTTACATGTTGATCTTTGATTTAACCTCGCTGTATCTTTAGATTGCCTTTTCTGTTGAATTATTTTATAAAAAAAATTGATCACTGCGAAAAATGATAACCTCGAAACGAACATCGTACACAAATGTAGGTGTAATATTAAATCCATGCAATTACAGAATATTTTTTTGTAAATGCAAGAGATAAAATTATGATAGAAAATTTAAATTACAGTGCAATTTGTTTTGATGATCTGCTTAATTGAAAAAGAACATTTACCCAATGTTCTGTCGACAAATTACTATTAATCATTATTCATTACTTCAATGGGATCAATTATTCTTTAAAAACATATTTAAACACTGCACTTAGAGAATTCATATTGAGTCGTTTTGACGTTACAGCGTTGAGTAGCAATTCCTGACGTTGCATCATAATATATAGTTGAAAATAGTTCAAAGTCGATGTCACACAGGTTAAAATAATTATAAAGAATCTATGACGTCATAGTAAGGTTACGTAAAATTTAGGGAAAATTTTACGTAACGCAGCCTTACTATGACGTCATAGATTACTTCCTTCCCTGCAAAGACTCTCATGACGTCATGACGTCATAGTTAACGTTACCAAGCATTACAATCAGTTCAATTTTTGTACTTCTGAAGACGGATTATGAAACCAAAAAAGCGCTTTTGTTAAATGAAATTTGGAAACAGCATTTTCTTTTTTCTTTTATTCAAGCATTGAATTCATATTTTTGGATGTCTTCGGTCCTATAACATACCTGGCCGTGCCGACAAATTGAATACCGCGCGTTAGCGCGGTATGATAATTTTTCTGCACGGCCGGGTGTGTTATTGGATCGAAGACATCCAAAAATATGAACTCAATGCTTATATTTACATTCTCTAATTTTCCTTCTTCATAACTGCTTATTTCGTTAATCTTAAATGTGAATTTATCGCCCTTACAAACTGCCGTGGTTAATAAATGTAAGAGCCGTTTGTGACGTCAAATGACGTTGCAAAGTTAAATGACGCAAACAAACATTGCGATGAAAAAAGTGACAAATTAATTCTTAACGCACATTACGTTAATTTTAACGTTAATTTTTCAGGGTTGCAGTTTTTCATTAATTAAGGGATGAATTTATTAGCTACCCATTTTATACGGTGTAAACTCGGTTGGGGCAGTTTACGCTTTATAAACCGCGAAGAATTTGGTAAACTGTATGAATTAAGGACATTCCATCCTCAGATTTTTAATGGTTCAAAGTACAAAAACTGCATTCATTCTTATTTAATAAACTTTAAATTTACCATTTATGCCAAAAAGGTGTAGGACGCCATACTATTTAAGATGGGAGACATAAATAAACAGAAGCATATGTAAACATAAAAATGTACATTTTTTTTTGTAAACAGCATAATAAATATAATGTAAAATTTGTTGCAAATGCATAATTCTGGTGCTGAAAGTTCAAAATACTTACTACTTATAATATAATTTATCCACAATTGACAATGTTCGAATCCCAACATTCCAATATAGCATACTTCCATGTATATTCCATTAGTATGCATTTGAGAAAGAAATACATTATCAATATACATAAAGCATTTTAAGGAACTTTAAAATTCTTTTAATTTTGAATTATGAATATCAGGCAACCTATTTTATATTAGAAATGCCCAGCTTCAAATGCCTGAATGAGGATACCTGAGTATGTGTTATTGTCCTTGTCAACACTTTTTAAGGATTGATTAATTGATAAAATAAAGAAAATATGTATTTTTAGAATTATTTTACTTATCAATATTTATCATTTCACCTATAGAAAACCATTCTTTCAAAAAAGAATATTCTGTTGGGTATGAATTTAAAGCAATAACAGTTTCTTCAAACACCTATAACATCAAAGTAGGATATAAATACTTTAAATATATCTTTTTGATTACTTTTGTTTAAGAAATGCAATCCATATCATTGGCGAAAATATATAATGCAAATAAGTTTCATTCAATAGAGATTCTTTGATCAAATAAGTTAATTGTCAACAATATCTTGTAAATACTTTTTCTGTATTATATTAGAAAGTTTAAATTAAGTACCAAATGAAACATGTGTACAAAAATTGGAGAAAATATTTAATACACATTTTTCAACCAATGCATTAGAAAAAAAAAATCATGCTACCTTTTGTGTTTTCTAATTAAAACTATCAAAGTCTTTTCAGTATAAGCTAACTCATAGATTTTTATCACAAAATAAATTACTATAATTTCAAATAAAACTTCAAATTTCGCCACAATGCTTATTATGTAATAAAAAAAAAGTACCAACATGTGTACAAAAATGGGAGAAAATATTTAACACAAATTTTTCACCCACAGACTTAGAAAAAAACTTATGCTACCTTTTGTGTGTTCTAATGAAACATCATTACAGTCTTTTTAGTATAAGCAAACTCTTAGATTTTTTACTCATAATAAACTACTGTTTCAAATGAAAATCCAAACTTCGCCTTAATGCTTGTTATGCAAAAAGGAGGACACTTTAGAACACAAATTTTAATTCTTTACTTGTGTTGCAACTTTTTTGGAACCATTTTCTAAAATAATGGAATGATCTACATATATTCAATATAGAAATGATTTCTTGTCAAAATGTTAAGTTAGATCTATATGAGAGAAAATGTGATGTTTTAAATTACTGCATTTTTCTTGCAAAGTCATATATACACTCGGTGTCGGTATCTAATGTATCTAATGTGGATGCCATCAGCTTTCAATTTTAACATGCCAAGTTATAGTTCACATGTATTCTTTCTTTTCTCTGAAGATAATTTGTCGTTGGGTCAATATTCTGTACAAAGTTCAATCTGGCCATGTCCCCCAGACTGCACCAGGTATTCACCAAACAATGCAGTTGATGGGAATAACAAAACATGTATGAGGGCTGACATTATTGGCGAATCATCAGGTGAAAAAACAGTGTGGTGGAGAGTGAACCTTGGAGACATAAAGAGTATATACAGTATCAGGATACAGTTTAAAAACATATGGCAGCAGTACAGTGAGTAGCAACTTTATAAACTTTGCTTTTATATGAAATAAAGAATATACCACTGAAATTGTAGAGACCTAGTACTATTCAAAGGTTATGGCTAAGATTGAGTACTTTATAAAAGTGAAGCTCTTTAAGAAATAGTTACACTATAAAGGTCATGTCACAAGTAAATAAATGTGAAATATGAAATCATTGTATATAAAGTAAATGTTTGTTAGAAAGAAATTAGCAGTGAAATTTTATAGACTTGGTACTGTTCAAAAACTGTTGCCGTGGTTAAAGTTCAATAATTTCTTGCTTTTGCAAGAAGGGTTACAATTTGTAAACTAAAATGTCGAAGTCAAAAGGATAATATATTGGTACCAAAAGTAAGATCTTGTAATAAAGAAAACGTAAGTGAAATATGAAGCCAAAACTGACAGACAGACGGACTAATGGGGTAAAATCTAAGTAGTTACTACTGTTTTGTTTTCAGTTGTTAGACAAAGAGGAAGACTAGCAGGCTTTTCTTTATACATTTTCAACACAACAGAAATACAAAGTGGTCATCTTTGTTACAAGGACGGACCAGAATTACCTCTGTTGGATATCACAAACGTCTGTACCAATCATGGGAGATACGTTATATTTTACAACGAAAGAAAAATTTGGGAAGTATATTATCCTAAGGATTACGAAACTTCAGTGGTAACTGAGTTATGTGAAGTGGATGTTATGGGTAATATCTTAATTCACTACAGACAAAATATATTCAGTTTAATAAGTGCAAGTTGATATCTACAACACTCTTATATTTATAGAGCTTGAATACTGGTCGTTTTTAAAATATGTTTTGTATAAAAAGGTTGTCATACAGAAGGCTTTTATGGACAAAACTGTGATCTTGCGTGCCCCCTACACTGCCAAAAGAGAAGATGTCATATAATAAACGGAACCTGTCTTGGTTGTACAGCGGGCTGGATTGGAGATTTCTGTAACACAGGTAAGATTTCCAATTTCCCAGATTAAAGAAGTACAATAAGGCAGTCAAATATAAAGTTATTCATAGCTGTATTATGAACTGTAAATTAATTTTTAAAAAGGTTAGATTTTAATTAAACTTTTATTGTAAAACATATTCTGATTTCAAAAACACTTGTTAAGAAGAAAATATCATTAGTATAGTAGTTATGCTCGATCCGGGTCCTCCTTATTGATTTTCAATAAAGAAAAAACATGATTAAATTTAAGGTATTTTTTTTAACATTATTTAAGGAATAAATGTCAAATATTTTGGTTTTATGATGTGATCAATCGAGTGTCTTGGGTGAGTGAATATTTGCATAAATGCCGAAGGCGTTTATGTTTAAAACTGAAAATGTAAATATCTATAATATATAACGCAAGCAATCGATTGATAATTTTCATAACATTGAGAAATCTAGCACTTATTCCTTGTCTTTACATGCGTTTGATTCCACAAACAAATGCTCTAAGGCTCGCTTATGTCTCCTTTTGTCCCGCATCTCACGTTAGTTTTTGTAACCGCGCCAATCGATGAATCAGTACATTTGTGTAGAAGTATCGTACATAAATCATTTGCAATATATCGGACAAAGAAATTGGAAATGTAAACATTTATTTATAACAGCATGTTCCTTTGGATATCATGGCATGGAATGTAAAACAAGGTGTACAGGTTACTGTTTACGTGGTTCTTCCTGTAATCATGTAAGTGGTCTTTGTGAATATGGCTGTGAGTCTGGATGGACTGCACCATCTTGTGATCAGCGTAGGTATCATTTTACATTTTGTTCTCGGCCTAAATAAGTTTCATGTACAAAAACTGTTTCCTACCTTACCATTAAAACAATTGAAGTCACTACGTTTATCTTGAAAGTCGGTTGTTAGATTACCATTTACATAATTTATGTATTTTTGTACTGAAATTTCTTAACATAAAACAGATGTTTAAACCCTGTGGTATCTTTCTTTAAGTTCCCTGGGATATATCTAGTCGACATATAATTGGGAGAAAATATTGTTTATTGATAATATGTTATAAATATAAATCAAATTAAATGCTGAAGACAACAGCAACTTATTTGTAAGTATTATGTTTAAGGACAGGTTATACAAAAAATCTTTTTTTCTTTGGAGGAGACTTTATATCATGTCACAAAGAACTCAGTTCACTTCATGCGTTATTTGGCCCTCAAATATCAATAAAAATAAAGTTTGCTTTTGGTATCATATTAGCATATCAAAATAACATAGACCCTACCTTCTTCTAAAAAAATCAATGTTTGTTTGAAAAGTATGATATGCTTTTTAAGAAAATTGATGTTAAAAACAACCATAATTGATAAAATTCAACCAAAAAAAAACGAAAAAGTGAACTTTTTTACATGTTTTGAATCGGTGGATATCGTATCACCACTTTGAAACTATGCATATTTAGTAGCCATTTTTTAGTAACTTCTTTCAATCATTTGGAGAAAAGGGGAATTTTAAATTAGAAGCTTGTCATCAAGATCAATATTGCATATTTCTAAATTGTCTGTTTGGATCATATTGTATAAATATCAAATCATTTTTTTTTTAAATATGACTTTTTTTCACTTTCGCGTACATAGTGACATTTGTACATAGTCTGAGAATAGTGGATAATTCTTAGAATTTGTTCTCCTAAGAACTGGAAAAGGAAATAGACATGGAAAATATTAGTAATGTTTCAATAAAAAGACAAGTATATACAAATCACACTCCGTCACACCCAGTAAAGCTTTAAAGGCGAGAAAAAATTTCAGAATATGTTTCCTTGGTGCTAAATGTGTAATATAAACTTTATAAAAATATACCTAGCCAAGTGAATTTGACAAAATGACAAAGACAAATAGCAGCAATATCACATGGGCTGATTTTTACCATTTTGCCACTCCTTATAAAATTGACAATACTTACATTCATATAAAAATCTTTTTAGCTTGTCAAGATGGATGGTATGGATCGAATTGTACACATAAATGCAGCGATAATTGTAGAAATAATTCACGATGTGACAAGGCAAGTGGGGAATGTGAAAGCTGTGTACCTGGATACATTGGGACATTTTGTAGTAGTTGTAAGTACACAGCTGTTTTGTCTTAGATGTATTGTTAGTCATCAATGTAAATGTTAAACTTATTCATCTGGAATGGATGACTTTTTTTACACTTTCTATTGTAATGCCTTATTATTATTATTTTATCGAACCTGTTATGTGATTGGTTCTAGATTATTAAATTACACTTGAAGGCCATGAACCTGCATAGTTCCCTGTCTTCGGCATGTTTTTCGACATATTCAAACTCATCGGATACCTAATTAAATTTCTGCAATATTTATCGTTCGTTGTTTAAAAACTCACAAGAATAGTAAACGTCACAATAGCCTTGTTTAGGTCATGAAATTTCTGATTGTTTTATCAAAGTTTTATGTGTTAAGGGTTAAAAAAATTTAACATTACGCAGGTATGTTAAGGTTGATTCTATGTCGGAAAAGTCTTTGTCACAAGATTTTCAAACTTTGCAAAATGAAAAATTAGCACTCGCTTATCAATCAGTCAAAGGCACATGACATGTTTCTTTGTTATTAATTGTAGTGCAGTCTGTGATGATATTTACATATTGCGACTACACATTTTCAGTCATTTTTAGGGGTACTTGTCATGAAGAGAATATGAAAAATCTCAAAAATACTTATTTAAACATCGCCGTTCGGTGGCTTTATTAATTGAACAGTATTAAACATTATTTCTCAATAATATATTTTTTTTATTCCATCGAGATAAAAGATTAGTCCACATTTAAGAAAATATAGGCCAAATGAACTTTATTATTTTTAGTCAATTGTCGACCTTAAGTTTGTCAAAATTTTTCCGAAGTCTTTGTCACAATGTTTTCAGTCTTTAATATGATATAGAACATACCCAAATGATTATAAAAAGTGATTAAAATATATACCTTTCGCCTCTAACTAATGGAATATAGGTAATTTACCAATGCTAATATTCTTGACCTTTTTGCACTTACACGGGATCTAATTATTAAACATTAAATGACTGTTTTGGGGTTACTTTCAGACTAAAAATGGTTATCAAAAGTTGTACTTTTTGATTAAAAAATTATATTCAATAGAAAAATTACAATCAAACACCAAGAATATGAATAAGTAACGAATAAGTATGAAATGGAATGCACATCATTTCATGATATATATCACAAAAATGTACACACGATCAAACGATCTGCAACACGTACATCTTGGACATAGACATATTTCATCAAGTACACTATTTAGTTGACAACTGAAGATTTCTAAGGATTTTGGCAGTCATTGAAAATGATTACATACCATTCACATTATTACAGTAAGGTGTACACATTGTAATTTCATTACACAAGATATTCCTGGATTTGTCAACTTAATTAAGGTAAAGATGAATTAAATAATAGGTGCCTACAAGTTTCTCTAATTCCAGAAATATATTTTCATTAAGCATTATAACCAAAAAATATATAAATTAAATTAAAATTATTTTGGCATGATTTTAAAAAGTATTATGTGAATTTCAAAATGCAGTATTTTCTACCATTTCTATTGAATCTGTATAGTACGGGAAACAGTGACATTGAATTAATTATTACGTCATAATGGATCTAGCACAGGCTAACACATTCACTGGTTATGATGTCATACGACATAGGTTCTACGTTAAGGTTACAAGCAAAACTTCTACTTGCCTCTATTATATGACGTCATAGTAAGCTATATGACGTGAAGTTTCAGAGATAACAATTTATTAAAATCGATATCTAAGATTGATTTGAGGTCGTATTAATTGGATTAAAATATGCAGAGGCATAATATAAACGGAATTTTGTCTTTTCTGGGTCTCTGTATTTATCACAGGGGTTAAATACCAAACCCGTGACGTCATAACTGTTGATCATGCAGTAGCAGAGTGAAAGTGAAATGTAACGAGAATTCATGTAAACAAACACAAGAAATCGGAGTTAAAAAGCATTTAGAATGAATATCATGTGTGATTCGTGTGGGAATAAAGCTTATAAATAAGGTATGCTAATATAACTCTACACTTTCTTCGTAAAATAAAAGCAGACAGGGTGTTTACTCGCCGATCAGCCTTTCCTCTGTGGTTCGTCGCAAAAAAAAAAATGCAAAAGTTCAACACTACGCCGCATACTTTGAAACTTAATTTTTGTTTTAATTTAAAGTTCTTATTCTATTGTTTTTGGAAAGTGCTGCTAGAATTGTATGGTTTACGGGAATTGATGCATTTTTTTCGATGTTATGAACAAAATGTAAAAATTTTGGGAAGGTTTCCTCCGAAAGTGTTGAATAATTATTTCTGTGATAGGACAGTAGGATTCTAGCAGCACTTTTCATGGTAGAGAGATGAATAATCTGCAAATTCCATGCTACTAATAGTAAAGTTCAATAATGCGTCAAAACAAATAAAATTTACACTTAATTTATTTTAGGCATCATATATTATGTAAAATTAGTAAGAACCTTTCCTATTAGACGCTATTCAAAAATAATCATCGACAGGGGCGTAAACGTGCTCATTTTGGCCCGTCAGGAATTTTTATAAAATTCTCTTATAAGGGTTTAACATGACATACCATGTTAAATACGGCTAGAAATATTTTTTTAGCATACATTTGCCCAAGTGAAATATACGTTCAAGTAACGTTGCATAGGCGTCGAAACCGATGGGGGGGGGGGGGGACTAAGGCTAGCCCCCCCCCCACTTTTTTTTCCAAATAAATACTTAGTATAAACACTGAGCATATCTTCGTAAGTTTAGCCCCCCCCCCCCCCCGCTTTCCACAGATACGTCTTAGTATAGGTTAAAAATGGAGAAAGTGGTGGTTATGTGAAGAAAATTTTAGGTACTGGAGTATGGAGTGCGAACCTAACCCCCCCCCCCCACTTCCCCCCCCCCCACGAAATAGGATTTTCGTGTTTGGGAAATAGACATTTCCTTTTTTTTTTTTTTTTTTTGCTTGTCAGGTTTTTTTGGAGGTACACTTAGCCCCCCCCCCCCCCCACTTTCAATTTGCTTCCGACGCCATTATTAGTGAGAAAATACGGTAAAATATTTGATAACATAATTTGTTCCCTTATGAAAGTACGTATAACCTGTACTTCTACTTGTAAGAGTTTTAAATGTAAAAGTGGTTTACTTAAAACAAATAATCCGGAAAATAATTATATTTCAGTGTATAATATCGTTTTACATTAAACAACATAACATTAAATACAGATACATGTAATTCAATTTATGTCGCTATGAGAAGTATTTAAAAGTTTACATCGTCAGATAGTTATGGATTTTTTAAACCAATCAAAATCTTTTGATTTTGTTGCGCAATTTTTGTTAAGCAGTTTAGTGCGTTAAAAAAAAGACAATCACCGATTCTTTTTATTGGTTTGGTTTTGTATTATTTTGCATTCTAGTGAAAGTTCGAATTTTTCTAATAACTTGTCATACGTTTCTTAGATTGGCGCAGTTGTTTGGACGCCTCCAAGGATTAACTCATTGATGTTATATTTTGTGCATTTGTACATGTACTCTGATATTTTCACAGCAGTTAAACTTCTAGTCAGTCTCGGGGGATCACACCATCCATTCAACTGATATTTCTCAAAGGACAGATAAATATATGCGTGTACTTATCAGAAGACGATTGAAAGAAGCCCCTGAAATTTTAATCGATCAAAGCATATTTCGAAAATCTAGAGGTTGTGATTTTAACTCCTTGTCAATTTATATATATATATATATATATATATATATATATATATATATATATATATATATATATATATATATATATATATATATTATTGAATTAGTGATAATCAGTTCTTTTAATAGGTATTTGAATAATATTCAGGTTTAAAAAAAACGCACACTTTTTGAAAAATAGACAGCAGTTTAAAAAATTTGGACTTACGTGTACTTGGCAATCTACACGGAAGTGGGTAAGTGTAGAAATTCGTGATTCGCAAACCTGATGACGTTATGCACACATTTTCGGTGGAAATCCCCTGCTACACGTAGACCTGCGCGTACACGTTTGTTTAATAAACGTCTCTATTATTTCAAAAGCATAAGTAGTAAAAATGAAATAATAGATGAAATACTGCGAGAATTATCTTTACCACTGGATACGAAAGAATTTCAATATACATGTACATGTACCTTAGTATAATTTTACGTTCCATGTTGATAGTCAAGAAAATCAAGGAAAAAAATATGCATTTCAAAATGTCCTTGTTCATTTAACTTCCGACATTTGTTGTAATCCCATAAGTGCGTAAATGTTAGTAACTCCTTCATGCACCAGTGCCATAAGTACATGTAACAAAACTATCATTTTAAAAGGATAAAAAGAAAACATGCATAAAATGATTATATTAATCTCCTAATTTGGTGCATGTATTAGCGATCATATTCTTGATAAAATGGTGTAAACATCAACACAAAAATTTATTTTTCGCTCAAGTAAGCTTTACTGATCAAATTTTTCCGTTGTCTGTCCTTGTCGTCGTTGTTGTTGGTCGTTGTCATCGTCTTTGCATTTTTTTTTTTTACATTTTTGTTTTCTTTTCAAGAACCGTCGCCCGCGTAACGTAGTGGTTAGAGCATCTGCTCTAAAGTGGCGAAGTAAGGAGTTGATCCTTACGTCGCGGGTTCGAATCCCACTGTGGGACGTGGAGACCGGTCCTTCGGATGAGACCGTATAAACCGAGGTCCCATATTGCAATAGGTGTTGGCAAGTACTCTTGGGTGAAGGCGATTCAGGTTTATACAAATAAAGGTCCACGCCCTCTTCCTAGGGGGATAATCATGAATTGATAAAAAATTAATAGCTTCTTTTTAAAATCTTCTTCTCGAAAACTATTGATCCAGGAAAAATGAAACTCATGTAGAAGTATCCTTAGGTAGTGTAGAATCACGTTTGTTCAAATCATGACCCTCAGTCTCAGTTGTGGGGGGAGCACAATGACTGATCAAAGTTTTACATAGGAATATATGGGGAAAATTCTTAAAGATATTTTTTTTCCATAACCAATGGGCCAGGAGAGATAAAACTCATGCAGAAGCATCCGCAGGTACATGTAGTGTAGTTTAGGTTTGTTCAAACAAGACCCCGAGGGTAGGGCGGGGCCACAATGGCTGGTCAAAGTTTTACATAGGAATATTTAGGAAAAAAAAACTTTAAATATCCTCTTTTCAAGAACTTTTCAGCCAGCAAAAATGAAACTCGTTTGAAAGCATCCTCAGGTAGTGTAGATGTGAAGTTTGTTAAAATTATGACCCCCATGGGTACGGCGGGGCCACAAAGGTTGATCAAAATTTTACATTGGAATATAGGCAAAAATCTTTGAAGTTTTCTTCTCCAGAACCATTCAGCCAGGAAAGATGAAACTCATGCAGAAGCATCCTCTGGTAGGGTAAATTCAAGTTGTTTCAAATCATGACCTTCGGGGGTAGGGCGGGAACACAATGGCTGATCAAAGTTTTACTTTGACAAAGGTAGTGTAGTTATAAGATTTTTGAAATCAGAATGTTTGGAGGTATGATGGGGATAACATGTGGGATCAATTTATACATGGGGTTATATACTAAAATATCTTTATGTACAATTGCCAATGCCAATTTATTTTGACATAATAACTAATTATTGGAACTTCTCGTTCATTAACATTTTCTTGTACTCTTGTAATTCCAACTCACATTTATTGTACTATGACAAAAGAAACCGTCTTCACTCTCCATTCTCATTAACAACAAGACATTTAGGTATGTTTCACTTTGCCGCTAATGTGACTTTAATTAGAGAACATACTTGTAATTAATTATGTTATAATTGATCTTGAAATCCAAAAAAATAATAATAAGCAACTTATCATCTGTATCAAAAATTTACCACAGAATGAAACCGAATTATGATTATGATTAATATGTAAACCGTGATAACATAATATATGGCGTAATTGATTACATAATATATCAAACGTTCTTGTGGTCTGAAACCGACAAAACGACTAAAAACACATTAAAAACCAAGAAAAGAGGATAGATAAAACTGGACAACCTAAAAAACAGGAAAAGGTGGAGGGGTGGAGGCGGCTTAAGATAATTTGAAGCTATCCAACACACATGTACTTTTCACGGCGTCCTAAAAGAAACTGAAAAGTGACGCTATCTGGACGACCGGGTCCTGATTTTTACCGCTCATGAATTTCATTGGACCTTTACTAAATGTTTTCAATTCATTTCCAAGAATCGCTTGCATCTGCCTCTCCTAATTTGGACACGGCAAAAACTTTTCTACGATATGGCAAGCGCGATAACTCTTGCACGCAGAGCATTCCTTTGTACATAAAATATTTGAAGTAAAACTTTAAGTAAAAATTTTCTGGAGAACACCAAAATACGACGGCGTATTAGTGCCATTTTAACAATGTATAAATTTTTTTAAAATCGTTTGTACGATTTAATAAATCGTTTGTACGATTTAGTAAATCGTTTGTACGATTTAATAAATCGTTTGTACGATTTAGTAAATCGTTTGTACGATTTAGTAAATCGTTTGTACGATTTAGTAAATCGTTTGTACAATTTAGTAAATCGTTTGTACAATTTAATAAATCGTTTGTACAATTTGTATTTTAAATCGTTTGTACAATTTAGTAAATCGTTTGTATGATTTATTAAATCGTTTGTAGGATTTATTAAATCGTTTGTACGATTTAATAAATCGTTTGTACGATTTAATAAATCGTTTGTACGATTTAATAAATCGTTTGTACAATTTAGTAAATCGTTTGTACGATTTAATAAATCGTTTGTACAATTTGTTTGTTAAATCGTTTGTACAATTTATTAAATCGTTTGTACGATTTAATAAATCGTTTGTACAATTTAGTAAATCGTTTGTACAATTTATTAAATCGTACAAACGATTTATTAAATCGTTCAAACGATTTATTAAATTGTACAAACGATTTATTAAATCCTACAAACGATTTTAAAAAAAAATTCTACATTGTAAAAATGGCACTAATACGCCGTCGTACTAAACCCATGATAAGTTTTTTTTAATATATGGAACTAATAAAACCATCCTCAAGTGGTTAAGATTTGTTTAGATTATCATCCCCGGGGTTAGGGTGTGCCCATAATGAGGGAGCAATGTTTTGCAAAAAAAAAAAATAAAAAAAAAAATCTTCTCCAGAAAATGTTTTGTTTCGTCAAATTGACATGTAAGCATTTGCAAGTAGTGAATATATAAATTTATTTAAATGATCTCCCTGGTTGAAGGGGGGGGGTAGTGAGGGGCGGTCACAATTAAAGATAAAGTTATAAACTTTTCAAATCTGAGCTGATTTGTGTTTTTATCTAGCCCATTTGCTGAGGTGAGCGATGTAGCCCAAAAGCCTTTTGTTTAATATCCCAGGAATGTCATGTTAGAATGTTAGAATTGTTTTTGCATGAAAACCCTGTCATTTATAGTGATGTATAAAACACAAGGTGAAAAGAATCGCCAATGACCTTTGCTTTTTTTTTTAATCCTCATGGGTTGAAAATCTGATCCAAACACAAATCAATTGATTATATAAATACGTGATTAATGGAAACTTATAATTGTGGTATGGGAAAAAAATATCTTATGCGTTTTATATACTTATGTTTATTTTATTAGCTTGTAATATGGGATCATATGGAGAAAACTGCAGGGAAACATGCAGTTCATTCTGCATAGTAGGTCTACATTGCAGCAATACTAATGGACATTGTGAAGACGGCTGCGTGGATGGATACATAGAACCAAAGTGTGATAAAAGTTCGTTTGAATACTAAAATTGATAATGTATCATGAATCAAAAGATATATGAAGCATTTTATTAATAGTTTAAAACTGATTTTATAAATTATTAATTCATTTCAGTCATAATATAGTCGACATCAAAAGGATGCTTGAGTTTGAAAATTGACAATATCTATGTTGTTTTTGGAGACCAGGTCCTCCAGCAATCACCTGAAAATCCCATGCGTACGAATTGCGCCCAGGTATTTGCAGACCTATTTTTGTATTTGTATAAAGCAGAATTTGTGCAAAAAGAAGAAAGCTGCTATGACCCTCAATTCGACATTTAGATATATCGACGACTTTTTGTCAACTAACGATTGTAATTTCCATTGATTTCTTATGTCAATACGATATATATCCTGGGTGTTTGAGAAAAGGATACCGGTATTTTAGAGTCTAGTTGGAACATCTGTTTCATATTTGTATAGTTTACTTTAAAAGATGTTTATGGTAATTTAATAATCAGATTCTATGATACAATTGATGACTTTAGCTTTCCTATGGTCAACTTCTCTTACTTATGCAGCAATATATGCACTAAATGAAATAAGAATATCAGCAGTTTTGTTGAAAAACCAACATTTCGTAAGTTCCATAGTTGATACAATGATATGTCAGAAAATACGATTTCTCATTTAGTTAAATGTTGACTGACTTTGTTCATACTAATAGACCCTTTCACGGTAACTGCGGTACTGCTCTTTTGCTGGGAAAAATGATATAGATTAGTGAAATATGACGTAAAAGTAAATGTTTATTATACGTCATTTAATTATCTGTATATAAAAACTTCGTCAAACGTTATCATTTCTCCTCGCAAAAGTGTAGTACTGGCTATAGGCTAATTGTTAGTCAATTATTTATACACTGAAATGACGAAAGATACTTGTGCTATATCTCTATCCTGACAAGGATCACACGCTGGGTGTGACCGATCGACAGAGGATGCTCACTCCTCCATGACATCTGATACAACCTCTTAAGTTTTGGAGGTCCGTTTCATAGTTGTGTATTATGGATTTTATTATACATTTTAAATCCAGATAATAGTTTTATTGTAAAACAAATATTTTACAATGTTCGTACAAGTTAGACATTTTGTTAGGTTGTGAGGGTGGGTGGTATGGCAAAAACTGCTCAAAGCAATGTAATGATAACTGTGTGAATGAGTCCTGTGATCACAGAGATGGTGTGTGCCTGTTTGGATGCAAACCGGGCTGGATTTCTGCTTATTGTACTCAGGGTATTTTTTTTATTTTAGACTTAAATTGTGTAGTTATAAAAATTACATGTATTGTACATACAAAATTTAAAGAGTTTATCAGTTTTTAATTTTAAGATATATCGTATTCTAATTGTAGCATTCTCTTTATGTATAATATCTAAAATAACTCATTTTTAATCAATGCAGCATGTAATGAAGGACTGTATGGCAAAAACTGTTCAAACATCTGTCACCACTGCCTTAATAATCTGTGTGATCCTAAAAATGGGACTTGCATTCAGGGATGTAACGACGGGTACATGGGTCATAAATGTGATGAGTGTATGTTATTATCAATTATTTGATAGATGTTATGTTTTTAATAAAAGAAGAAAACAAAAATCATAACTTCTTGTTTAAGAACATCTCTCATTCTTTCAGGATTTGCATACTTTTTTGTTTATTTTTTCTATACTTTTTTTTCTAAAGCGTGCAATATAGGAAGGTATGGAAAGAATTGCGCCAACTTGTGCAACAAATATTGTAAAAACAAGTCATGTAACAACACCGATGGTAGATGTACAAATGGGTGTGAAGCTGGATGGATGGGGTTAAACTGTCTAGACGGTATGAGTTAAGGTTTAAGTAAACTCAGTTTATTGTAACCACATTATAAAGCAAGATGCGTATGCTCTACAACACAACTCAGTAATATTGTCCTTCATTCTAAAACACAAATTCATATCACTCACTCCCTTCATTTGTGAAGGTTCATCTGCAATAAACGTGTTATTACTTTTGAGGTCTATATTGTTGTAAATAAATAAAATACTTGCACAACAACAACAACAACAACAACCGTATTTTAAAGTATATTAGCTTTTCCTATCCCACCGTGCGATACACAGACTAATCACAAAACGAATTTTCATTACATACTTCATATACGTTGAACGACTAAATATTAGAAAACAATCTTCTTGTGTAAAAAAAATTATCCCTCGAAGAACCTTATCAAGATCTGTTTCGAAGTCAGATACACTTTTAAAAAACTTCAATACCATTGAACAAAATATATTTTACAAGGTATGGCTTCATTACAGTTAAACATAGAAAAAAAATTCAAAACAAATTAGGGATGTCAACGAATAGTCGTCTATTCGACTGTCAGTCGAATGGACCGACGATCGAATAATGAAACAAGATTCGAATATTAAATAAATGCAAGAAAAGGGTTGATAATGAAATTTTCATCTTAAAAATGAAAAAAGGTCCTTCCTCAGACTATACAACTGTACATATAGTGTACGTCCTCAGACGAATAAGTGCTTAAAATAAGTCACAGTATATAAATAATTTTCCACATTGTTATTGAACGTAGCAAATTATGCAAAACTATACTGGACTATGAAAATTATTTAATTTACTTGTACCATTTATATTTATAAACTCTAGGAATTCCAAATGGTTAGAAACACACAATATTTGCATAGCCATGACGTTTCTTATTTCGATAATTATTAAAACAATAATCTAACATAAAAGAAATTTTGATATATAGCTTTGGCAATCATTAATTAAACAAACAGTATTTAATATCATCGGAGATGAGGATAGTGTGTGCTTACAACTCCCCATTTCCAATTTATTTCAATTTTCCATTTTATTTTAGAGGTGCTATAAAAAAAATAAATGCTCCGAATAGTCAACTATCGTTCAAATAATGCAATCGAATGTTCGACTGAGAAAATTAATACTTTGACATCCCTAATAAAATAAAATGTGTGCCACCAGGGACCTATATACTAATATATGTCCCTGGTGTCACTATTTATTTAAGTCAGATCGATCCACTTAGCATAAACTTTGTGCCGGATTTTAACACCTGTAATGGAATATTTGAGGACATGCGATATGCTTTAACACATCAAGATTCTTCAAAGATTTTCAAAGCGGAATAAGTACATATCCACAAATATACTTATATGTTAATAAAGAGCTAGGTTCACTTTATGCATAAAATAGCCCTGTACTTATATTAATTAATGAACTATCACCCTTTTGGATCAGAGGTTGTGCTCTATTTGTAATATTAAAAAAACACTTTAGGCCAGTTTCAAAGGACTTTGCTGGATATGTGTAAAATGAAGCATTTTATGACTTCATAATGCATTCACTAGATAGGAAATTACCTAATGATTAATAGATGTTTGGTCACAAAAACTCCAAGTCAATTGCTGACTGACGTTTTTCATACTAATTGTTAGTCCATTATTTATACACTGAATTGACGACAGATTTTTTCGTTATTTCCTTATCATGACAAGAAGCACACGGCGGGTGTGACCGGTCGGCAGGGGATGTTTACTCCTTCGTGGCAACTGATCCCACCTCTGATGTTTCCGAAGTCCATGCTGCTCTGCTCTTTATTTGTATTGTTTTATGGACTTTGTGTTTGAATACTGTTCGTTATCTCCATATCCTTCTATGAATATTCTTAAATTAAACTGACGACAAGGAGGCATTTAATGATTTCATAACACGTTATTACTGAATTATTCTTTCAAATCTTGATTTAAGTGAAATAAAAGAAATAAGCTGTAATTACTGACAAAACAAAATATTCAAAAACTTTCGACCTGACTGGCCTCACTCGAACACGATGAAAAAAACCATGAAAATAATGACAAAGTAATTGATATCAGTTTGTTTTACATAAATATTGAATGTAGTAAGTGGTGCAAATAAATTTACAAATAAATCGTGCATATTTACAGTTGAAAGGATCAAGACAATAAACTCAAAGCACAATTCATATCAAACAATATTTTCATTTCTATTTTTTTCTCTGTGATAACTCCTTGATTGTGTGTGTGTATTGTTTAACGTCCCTCTTGAGAATTTTTCACTCATATGGAGACGTCACCGACGCCGGTGAAGGGCTTCAAATTTAGACCTATACTCGGCTCTCAGGGCCATTGAGCAGTGAGGGTTCTTTATCGTGCCAGCGCCTACCGTGACACGGGACCTACGTTTTTAAGGTCATATCCGAAAGACCCGTGACTTTCACTTCTAGTGCCGAGCGCTTGGCGAAGGAACAGTCACTACCTATGTTTACGTCTTAGGTATGACGCGGCGCCGCGATCGAGAATCGAACCCGGGCCTCCCGATCACGAAGCGAACGCTCCACCACTAGGCTACCGTGACCGGTGATAACTCCTTGAAGTTAGCGGCCTAATATGCATGCATATCCCATGCACAACTGTCTCCGTGTCTGACGCTAAGGAGGCGAAATATACATGTAAATCTCGAGCGTCTGCCTTTTTGTTTGACGTCAGTGGGCGAGGACTATTGAAATTGGCATGGGGACCCTTGTGTAATTTAAATCTATGTCTACATTTTTAAAGTCTAAATCTACAATTTCATTTCACAATGAAATGGAAATAAAAGGAATCACTGTGTAGTTAGTATAGTATGCCAAGGAATTCAACGATAGTTGATTAAATGGGATAATTAACTTCGCCCGTTATCCAAATTATCCCATGTTTCCCACTATCGTTGATGCCCTGGCATAATATACTAACTAGACGGTGATTCCTTAAATAACCCTTCTAAAAGAAGCTGTTAAATAATTACTATGATAATTTGTTTAAATAAAGTATGTAAAATGTTACCTTAAATTATTAACATTTTACCAAATAAAATTTGGATTATTAAAAATTCAAAGGGACAATTTGAAAGCACACTTATTTTACCATAATTAACAGCTTGAAAACGTACATCTTTTCAACTTTATATCTGATCATAACAGGGATCACACAGCGGCAGGGGATGCACACTCCTACGTGACCCCTGATCCCACCTCTTATGTTTTGAAGGTCCGTGTTTGCTCTACTTCTATTTTGTGTTGTTTTAGGGACTTTTTTTATTTTGAATATCAGAATTAAAATACCGATATGTTTCACCAAATAGTTTTAAAAGTGTGTGATTTTATGAATAATTTTTATTGTAGTCTTTTGTATTCTGTTTTTTGATGAAAGGCCTCATTTTAAGGCATTTTGTGTATGTTTTTTTTAATCTTACGATGTTTATAAGGGAGTCATCTTGAAGCACATGAATGCTGTACCGTGTGAAAGATTACAGATTTTGAATTCGTATTCTGGTCTGGCTGCCCCCCTTTTTCCCTATTTACATCATGTTACATCATGTTACAATGTCATTATGGTGCTTGGGGTTAGATTGTACAATATTTTGCATAAGATGTGTAGTACTCTATCTTTGAATCCCTTTTTCTGACTCTTTTATTTTATTTCTACAAGATGTTATTTGTTGCTTTAACAATACAAGAGCTAAGTCGTTCGCCAGGAGGACTAAGAAGCATAAATACCTTGAAGGATAAATAACACATATTTCTCAAAGATTTACATTTAAGTTGATAACCTAAACAATGTTTATCAAGTTTAGTGGGAGTATTTTATTAGATTTTGTTATTTGGTTGAAATTAGTGCAAAATTTTGTATGGAATTTTATAGGAAGCAAAAAAAAACGTTTCAAATCTACGTACTTAGAAAAACCTACAATTTCCTTATATTTCAGGGATTATTAATTTATGCCATTTTAAATCAAAATCAGTCAAAAAATATATATACCAATCCATCCATCAAGTTTTTGTTTGTGTACCCTTAAGGGTATACATATGCAATGAAAACCTTTTTTACTTTCTTGATTCGATACGCAAGACTATGCTCTACGTAGGAACAGTTTCTAAAACAAGGTAAAAAAGGTAAATTATAGGCAAACAAGTCGATGAGACAAGAATATCAGAAGTCTCGTTTAAAGTCGTCATTGGGGTTGGGCGGGCCACAATAGGAAATCAAAGTTTGACATAAAAATATATAGGAAAAAATCATTGGCTATCGAAGATGAATAATAAAATATTTTTTGAAATAAATCTGTGAAAAAAATAATTTTCTCGCGCTTCCTCACAAATTTATATTGACTGTTCTATCGACAAAAATGTGGGAGGATGAAGTGGGCTTGTTTGACTGGTTGTTCATAATCATTTAATGGTTTGAAATGCGCCAAAAATATGGAGTTTTCTGTCATTTCTTACTTTATTCATAATTCATTATCTATGTTGTTTTCATACTCCTCTCTCTCTCTCTCTCTCTCTCTCTCTCTCTCTCTCTCTCTCTCTCTCTCTCTCTCTCTCTCTCTCTCTCTCTCTCATAAGAATCGAAAAAAATATCAGTCATTTACAAGTGACTGCATAGTCGTTGGCTTTCGTAGGTTTTGTAATTTTATTTTCTTTAAAAAGAAAAGTACATCAGCAATTGATATTTCTTTCTGTGATAATTTTTTAGTAAATTTATTTGTTGTAGTTTCTTTAAAATTTAACCATTGCTTTATATCATTAGACAAACAATGTTCTAAATGTTGTTACATATATAAAAGAACAATTTTGAAGGACCTTTTCTGAAATACATGTAAATAAATGCTTTTACACATAATATTACAATGAAAACTTTCAAAAGGCCCTTAGTTTGTTATAACCTCCCTTAAGTGTATAATAAAACAAGAGGCCAATGGGTCACATCTCTCATCTGAGAAGCGTTCACCATGCTGTTCTTTACCAGATTTCCACCTTGTAATACATATTGTGACCCCACCCTACTCCAACGATTATGATTTGAACAATTTAGAATCTACACTACCCAATGATGCTTCCAAATAAATTTCACCTTTCTGGCCCAGTGGTTCTTGAGAAGAAGATTTTTTAAAGACACAACCCTATTCTTGTCTTTTCTTGATTATCTCACCTTTTGAGGAAACTTGGCCCTTCATTTTAACAATTTAAATTTCCCTTACCCAAGGATGCTTTGTACCAAGATTGCTTAAAATTGGCTCAGTTGTTCTGGAGAAGAAGTCGAAAATGGGAAACGGACAAAATATGATCAGAAAAGCTCACTTGAGCCTTCAGCTCAGGTGAGCTAAAAACTTATTAAGTGCATCATAGAGTATATTTACGTGAACAAATTTTCTTTGAGAAGGGTAAAGTAGAAGCGGCATTGAAAGCAATTTTGAAATAAATTTAATTATGTATGTACATGTATAATAATGAGGGTATTCATTTCTTTCCTCATTCTTAGAGTGTCTGTCTGGATTGTATGGGGAGGATTGCATACAAAATTGTGGCAAATGTGCTTTGAATCAAACATGCAACAGGACAAATGGGGCTTGTTTAACTGGCTGTGCAGAACCATTTACGGGAGTGAAATGCGACAAGAATACGGAAAGTTCGTAATGTCTTATATGCTCATTATATCCTCCCTCTCTCTCTCTCTCTCTCTCTCTCTCTCTCTCTCTCTCTCTCTCTCTCTCTCTCTCTCTCCAAGATCATCACCAAGTTGTTGAAAGCTCCTCCATGTTTTATAACGTATCTTTTTATTTTCATAAATGGAAATATAACATGTATTTATTGAATTTTTTTGTAGCCGTACTGAAAATAACACCTAGAAATTTTTCTGAATGTGATTTTTTTCACGGCTTCGTCATAGCCTTATCAGTAGGATTTGCTGTATCCATGGTAATAAATATATATGCCTGTGTAATGAAATTACGAAGGTAAGAAAATTAGTATTACTTAAACCAATGAATATTTGGTGTTTGTGCACTCAAATTAACAGAAAAAAATACTTGATCACGTTTCTTAAATATAGTTGATTTAATATTCTATAGAAGATACTGTAAACGAAATGAGGAAGCATCGAAACATAATGCTGTACTTAACCACGGAATGGCTGAAAAGACTGAAGATACACATACCTACCAGGAACTAAATACTATTAATTGTGATTTTAATACTTACCATAATCTTTCATTTGGCACTTCTGCCTAGAATAAGAAAGAAAGGAAATGTTTCTCCGTATTTCTTAAAGATATTTAAAAGCTTTATGTACAACGTACGTTCTTTCATTTTTGATTATGGATATACTGTAGTTTAAACTGATGTAATATATAGAGTTGTCACAATGGGATGATTTCAATTCATTGCGAATAGGGCTATTTCATTGAATGACGAAAAAATAAAAATCAATGAGATTATTTTCAATGAGGTCAGGCAGGTATTTTAAATGAAAAACAAAATAAATCATAACATTTTCGCAAAAAATAAAAATTACACCAACCTTTAAAACATTTTTTTTTCACCGTCATTAAACCACTTGATATGTAAAGATCTAAGATCTGCTCTACATGTACAACACAAATTTATCCTCTTAGTTTAAAAGACGCATGCTCCTTTAAAAAAATACAATTGAAGGTTATTTTTTTTGTTTGAAACGAAACCTTTCAGTATTTTTTGTTCATCAATTTCAAGTTTTTGTTTTTCAGTGTGATACAGGGACATTCCTGTTCCGTAGTCTATGCCTTATGCGTATTAATGAAATAAAACAATCCAGTGACGTTATAATGATTTCATTTTTCTTTTTAAGTTGTCAGATATTTTGCTTTTTTGTATTAGAATAGTGCTGAGTATACATTTAAATTTGCAGCCCTCCACCGACAAGCAGTATAGTTTTCATATGAGTGAAAAAATCTCGAGAGGAACTACGAGACCCAAGGTGGATAGAGAATGGATGTCTCCTTTTTATCATATCTGATATGTTAAAAATCTTACGCAATCTTACGTAATGAAGGGTATGGAGATAACAAACAGTATTCAATATCAAAGTCCATAAAACAATACAAAACAGGAGCAGAGCAAACATGGACCTCTAAAACATCAGAGGTGGAATCAGGTGCCATGGAGGAGTGTGCATTCCCTACCGACTGGTCACACCCGCCGTGTGCTCCTTGTCATGATCGAGAAATCCGTCGTCAAATCAGTGTATAAATAATGGACTAACAATTAGTATGAAAAATGTCATTCTGAATTTGACTCAGTGATAAATTGTATTTGCTGACAAGGTCATTGTATCGACAATAGAACTTACGAAACAATTATTTTAAACGAAACTGTTGATTTTCTTTTTTCATCAACTTGTCTGTCAATAACTTACATCGTTTTAGAAACTTTTCATAAGTAGAGCATGCTCTTGCGTGTCGAATCAACTGAGATATGTAAAGACCGTATGCAGTTGATAAAGGTATATTGCTGCATACGTAAATGAAATTGACGATAGAAAAGTTAAAGTCATCACGTTTATCATAGAGCCAGCTGGTTGTTAGATTACCATTAACGTCTTTTTCAAGTAGAATATTCAAGTATGGAGAAGATGTGTCAGACTCTGTGGTATCTTTTATCTCAAGCTCCCCAGGATATATCGAATAGACATAGGAATGGAAATTAACATTGTTATTTGACAATACGTCGTCGATATATCTAAATGTTGAGTTGAAGGCCACAACAGTAGCTCAGCTGTACACTGCAGTTAGTGATATCTTTATTCAACAATTATAGTATTGTTGAAATTAAGGGGTTTCTAAGATATAGCATAGATTTTAAAGTCGTTTATTGAACGAGCAGGACTGAGACAACCATATTTCGTCACAAGTGACCTGCATAGTGACGGCATTTTAACATTGTGATGTCACAAACAAGAATAAAAACCTTATTCAGCATATGCTATTTATAGAACGTTTGTATGACTATATGTGTACGAATTCATTTTCTAATCTGAATTGTGGTTTTGTAGATATAGAGATAGTTCGCGAACTTTTTAATCATCCCTCGTAAACAGAAATAACAAAAATATGGTCAGGCTCTGGACATATTCAATAACATCTTTTCTTTACCATATACTCCATCTAAGGAACTTTATCCTCAGATACTCGTCGTCCAAAAGCCATCCAGAAGTCACTAGTATATGCTTCATGTATCTGGAGAGTGTGGTATTCTGCAAACTTACAAATTAGATACATAATAATATAATGACCAAGTGCCTATAAGTAGCTTGATTTTCTGTTTCCTTGTATTAACGATTTCATTTTTCTGTCTGTGGTGACATTTTTGAACCACGGTGTAATATAGATCAAAAGAATGAATATGGATTCTTTCATATATTTTAGAAAATGATCAGACGATCAGAAGATTACGCGAGATATATAATTATCGGGAGGCGTTTTCAAACTTTATAAAAAGAATTTTGACAACAACAAAATCAAACTGGTAGCTTTGAAAACTGTATCTCATATGTTATTTAAACATTGATTGCGGAAGTGAATTCCTTTGTTTTTGAGTTTCTGCAACTTATAATCTCTATATTGCACGGGACTTCATTGAACAAAGCACAAAGAACGATAAAAATCTTCTTTAACGAGTGTTGCAAACCAACTTTGTCATTGTGCTAATAATTGCTCGTTTTACATAGTAAGTCAAGTAAATATTTATGACTATTCCACAAAGTTAAGGAAGTATTTTACCTAATTATGCAAATAAACCATCAACTAACAAAGTACCGTATCAATGTTAAATTTCAATTATAATAAATGTTCTAGCGAAAAGGAATGAAAATGGACTTAAAAGCAAAACACCGGTTTGAGTCTGTTTTCCATAATGTACAAATAGAATTATAAGTCATACTGATATGTCATATTGATATATTTTCACAAGTGTAATAAAAAGAGATAAAATGCTGCACAAGATATTCTTTTTAAAATATTAAAAGTAATAATTAAATGCGTCTTCACCATTTTTTCACAACAGAGCAGAGCTGTAAATAAAGATAAACACATTAATTTAAAAAAAAATCCTTTTGAATATATGCATACAGTGTACGGGCTTGTATAATGCACCGAGAGATAGGTCATTTACTCAAGCGTTTTCTGACTTCCTTGTTCGTTTGATTTATTTCCTTGTGAAAATGGAGTATCTGACTGTGTTGTTCCTCTTGCAAATATTTTCCGTATACGGATATGGTAAGTCAGTAGCATAAGGTATAAATAAGAAATGAGAGACTTCAAGTTCAAATATTAACATCTACGCTATTTTACATACTGAAAGATGTAAAAAAAAAATTACAAATGCTGTTGATTGCCGCATGGCTTGCTCTTCTTGAAGGAGCATATACTAGTATAACGTTAATGTAATAAATGTTCATCTTTTAGTGTTAAATACCAGTGTAGACCATTTGTGTTCTTATTATAATTTCATAAGAGAAGGGGAAAATACTCAGTAGCATTGTTGAATTGTTGTTTCTTTATACTGTTCATAATAAATTGTATGCTAACTGTTAAAGAGCTTTGATTTAGAAAAAAAACATTTTAAGTGAGAATTGAAAGCAGTGAAGATAAATTTTATGCATCGTTTTCGGTATATATTCTGTAAGATGTCAACAAACAGCTGCAGATTTTATAAAACTTACATTTTTGGTGGCATATGTATGCCACCCACATTTCTTGTCATCATAGCAAATGTTGTATAGTCAAGATAACTATAATTATTTAACTGTTAAAATACAATTTAACTATGAATGTGAATTTCTTCTTTTTAACAAATAAATTTTACGTTTTGCATCTTATAGTTAAATACTTTTCACCATGCCCTCCCTCTGAAAAATGTCTGATACTGTAGCATTTAGATCTTGACTGGACAAGATAAAAAGTTCGTGTTTGGCACCAAACCATAGAGTTATCATGGATTGGTGAGAATTGAGAAAGTTATCTTAAATTGATATGATAGGCTATGTTAACAAAAATGTGCTTAGCATAAATATGCTACCATAAATTACTTATTATTATTCAAAACATCTTGTATATAAAGGTATCATTTGGATTGATCAGAACAAAATTAAATTAGGTCATCATAAAATATAAAATGGAAGATAACTATTTCCCCAGTGACGTTTATACCTGTGAAAACCTCTCTTAAAGATTAATGTACAGCTGCCTATAGGTACATGTATTAAAATTACGATTTTCTTTATTCCTGCTTTGTGGGGCTCGTAAATTCCTAATAATATGTTCTGCGTAGACATTTTTAAAACCTTTTTTCTTGCTTAGAAAAACTGTAGAGAGCATTGTAATATTTTATTTTTGTCGTTGAATTTGATTTAACTATACAAGCCCATATTGAGCAGAGTTTCTTCCTCTTCATTCTCATGAAAAACATTCATCAGATGCGTAGCTTAGACGAGGGGTCATGAGTTATAGAAACTTTATTCTACACATCACGCAGATGCCTTCGTATAAGTACGTATACGTGTTTGAATAATCATGGTATGTTCTGGAGAAGAATCTCAGATCTTTTATTCTATGATTTACTATGTATTTGCAATACATTAAACACCATTTTGGCCTCAAAGTAGAGCATAAGAGTCATGATGAAGTATATGGAGTTAACAAACAGTTTTCAAGCTCAAATGTCCATTAAGGACAGATGAAACAAACCATTTTTTTTCTTTGGAAGAGACTTAATATCATGTCATAAGTTTAGAAAAGTGGATAGTTCTTAGAATTTTTTCTCCTAAGAACTGGAAAATGAAATGAGTGTGCTCTTTTTTTATGATCGGGAAAATAACGGAAAAAATCCGTCGAAAATTCTATGTGTAAATAATGACCAAACAATAAGCATGAAATGCGTCAGTCAGCATTTGACTGAATGATAAAATGAACAGAATTGAATTTACATTACCTTAGGAAGCTTTCATATAAATATTACTGATCATGGACTGGCTACTCTTGAGAAGTATTTTTGAAAGATTTTTTTTAAGTTTTAAGGTAGGACACAATAGAAAGCCAAAATTTTCCTCAAATTAATTTTTTCTGAAACTTTAATATTTTGTTCTAGGATGCAAAATCGCTCTTTATAGATGATATGAAAAAAATTCAACCACACATTTTTTGCCCACATAGTCTGATATATGGCCTATCAGACCCCCGTAATAAGATTGTGAAAACAGACGTTTGACTTGAGAATGAGCCTTATTTTAAAATAATCAATTAATCTATTACACATTTGTGTAACACTTTCAATAAAGATAACCTTTTTGTTACTTTAAATAAGTAAGTCATATTGATACTGGAAAATTTGAGTAAAATAATAAGTAAAAA